CTATCTGTATATAATTTAACAGTTTATTTCTTGTGTTATATATATCTATCTTTATAAATAAATACATAAAATTATCAGCAATCTGGTTTTATCTCTTTAGAGAACCTTGCCTAACACATACATTTTCTATTGTGTCTAGTTTATGTGAGACAGAACAATTTAAAATGCTCTTGAAAACAAAACAGAAAGTAGTTTTCCCCTGTGGTGTACAGATAAGTTCTCTGGTCTCGCTTTGATCTTTTTACTTTTAATTTCTTTATTGTTTTGATTAATTTTACCCATAAAAGGCATTGACCATTTCATCTTAGTTTTCATGTTTTTTAATTAGCTCAAAGCTTTTAGAAGGAATCGGCTTCTTTAAACCTCCTATCTGTTGAAGTCTGTCTGTTTTTTCCCTTTGATACAATATCGTATCTCAATCACATTAGTTACCTTTTCCCCCAGTTGGTTATTCTTATTCACACTACCTGAATGACCTACATATTATTGGAATAGCATACTAATTAGTGTACACTAAGCTTCTCTTTACAAATGGATTTTGATTTACTCAGTATTACTTAAACAGCAAAAAAATTCTTTTCAATTTAAGATTAGAATCATATTCTTACTTATTCACTTAAATGTAAATTCTTAGTTTACATATACAAAATTTTGGGTTACTGGTTTTTTTATTTATTTAACAAATTTTTGAGCACTTTCCATGTTACATCCTAAGAGAAATACGGTACAGTAGTGCGGAACACTGTCACCATCGCTACCATGATGTGGCTTAGCACTGGGTACTTGGATGCATGCATGACTGCAAATGTGGATTCCTTGTATAAAGTGAAGTAGATCTGTTCTGAGAGGCTTTATTAATAACGCCTGTCAGACTTTCTAAAGACGTAGCATTTGAGATTTGAAGATGGAAAGAAGGAAACTGGGTTGTAAGTGAGTTAGAACAGCATGTGGAAAGAAAGGGTTGGGGACAGAGATGAGAAAGGTTGAAAAAAATACTAGTATGAGTAGTCTCTCAAAGGGGAGGAAGAGTGTTGTGATGCAGTGTGAGAAAAGGCAAACAGACCCCCATAACTCTGGGAGCCATGTTTAGAAGTTTGGCTGTTAATCTAGACAGAACAGAAAGCCACTCTGCCTCTTTGTCATTTCTTTTATAACCTGCATTTTCTGATATTGTGTGAATGATGAACACCCCCCCCCCAATTTCACTGTAACTTTTTTGAGGGTAGAAACATTATTTTGTTTAACACTCCCAACCTAGAATAGTTCCTTTTATAGTGTAAGAATTCAATAACTATTGCAGCAATCGAAAGAAGAATGGGTGGCAGAGGATGGAGGGCAGACAGACAGTAGGAAGGAAGGCAAAGGGACGCTTGAGTGAATGAAGGAGGAGAGTATGGAGGGATCGAGACAGTAGAGGAAGAAGGACCACAGCAAAGGTGTGGGAGGAGAGGAATGGGTGGGTTTCAGGGAGTAACCCAGCATTTTGTTCTACTGGATACTTTGACCCTGAGTGTGAAGGGTGGGAGATAATTTATGAACATCTTTTTAGTAACCTCGTTAAGATAATAACGTATTCTCATGAATAAGGAAAATGGTGGTGCATTAGAGATAAGTGGAGCAATCAATTAGGAAATAGATTTAATAAGACTTAATTTGGGATTAGATATGGAAGATAAGAGATAAGCTCGGGGTAAAGGATGACTCCCAGGTTTCTCCAAATTACACATAACCTTTCAGTTTTAGCAGATGATAATACATTAATCTTTCTTTCTCTTGCTCTGACCTTCTTCCCCTTTCCTCCATGAGCTCTTCATCTTTCAGTGTTTTAAATCATTTTCCTTGACACCCCTTCTTTCTGATTATTCACTCTAAATACTTTTGAAGCCTTCTCTCCTTTCGGGGAGGAACTATCCACAGGATGTCCCTTCATTCAGTCTTGCTGGATGGCGGTTTTCCAGGGACTCTTGTGGAGACCCCTTCTGCCCATTATGAATTTTTTGGTGTAACATTTTCTGTCCATGCCAGTAAGTGGCTTCATGATTGGAGAAACTTTTTTTAAACTTCTGTTTACCCAGTTTCATTATACATTACAGCAGCAGTTCTCAACCTGTGAGTCATAACCCCTTTGGGGGGGCCCAACGACCCTTTCACAGGGGTCGCCCGATTCATAACAGTAGCAAAATTTCAGTTATGAAGTAGAAACGAAAATAATTTTATGTTTGGGGGTCACCACAACATGAGGAACTGTATTAACGGGTTGCAGCCTTAGGAAGGTTGAGGACCACTGCCATAGAGCATCCAAGATGGAGAAGCACTGCTTTCAAGGAAGACATCTATCTGACTGGCCTGCAGGTAGCTTTTAGCTAGGCATAAAATAGACTCCAGACTCTGCCTAAAACTGTGAACTGCTCTTATGTTACAACAAAAGTAATTTAGTATTAAGATAGATCTTGGTGTATTGTGTATATAATCTCTTGTTGTTTTGAAAATGTGTACGTTTCTGGACAATCAACACTTTAAGAAGCCCATATCCTAATCTAAAAGGTAAAAGAAGTGCAATGAGTAATCAATTGCTTGATAGAAGGAGTTTCTTGGATGTGTGACTGCTTATAGAAGAGTCAGTTTTAAATGACTTTGGGAAGATCTCATGTCTTTATTTAGAGAATTATGATGCTGAACTGATTTTTCTCTAAGGCCCTATTATATAAGCGTTTTAGCATTTGGGGAGAAAGGGTAACCAGAAAGGAACCGAGCCCCAGGTGACACAGTAGGTTAAACATTGGGTTACTAACCAAAAGGTCAGTGGTTCAAACCCACCAGCTCTTCTGCTGGAGGAAGATGAGGCTCCCATAAAGATCTACAGTTTCAGAAATTATATATAGGGCTGCTGTGAGCTGGAATCAGTTCAGTGGCAGTGAGTAGTGAGTGACAGAAAGGGATACATGTAAAGTAAATATTTTAACTGTCTTTGGTAGTTTTTGTAATGAGGCAAGGTATAAAGAAGTAAACATATATGTGCTGTTATGTATGTGGAATGAATATAATTGAGTTATATTTTATCCACAGAGTCTCTCTTTCAGCTCCTTTTGGAAATCACTGTTCGAAGTACTGGAATGAATGACAGCACAGGGCAGTCCTTGACAGCACTTTCCTGCGCATGTCTCTTCAGTCTGGTGGCTTCCTGGGGAGAAACAGGAAGGACACTTCAAGCTATTTCTGCTATCCTCACCAACAATGGCAGCCACGCTTGCCAAACTATTCAGGTATTTCATGCTTACTGCTGCTTAGAAAATCCTTTAGATGGCATCTAAATATGTACCTGTTCTCGATTGAAAGGAAAGGCCATATTCTGAATCTGCTATACTTTTGATTGAATGATTATGGTTTCTCAAGCATTGATTTTTGTCTCTGAGTTACTGTACTATAAGGCATTTTAAGCTTTAATATCTGTGGGATAAGCTTTTCACTATTTTCAGGGTTGAGAGGTACACTGCTCCTTATGGGCACACTCAATTCTTTTGCATGTCCTAGAAATCGAATAAGAAGATATTGTTTAAGTCCCTGCTCTCTGCCTTTACTTGACCCTGACTACAGCATCCAGGACAGATGGAAGGGCAGCCTCAAACCTCCCAACAACAGCTCAAGAAGTAGATGGGTCATTTTCTGTGGCTTGTCAAACATGAGGAGTCTGCTGATTAAATCTCTACTCTCAGTCTTTTCTCTGTCTGCCCTGCCTTCAGTCTTCTTGTTCCTTTTTATGGCACGTAATTACTTTAAAGTTTGTCAGATGCTGGTTTTCAAGCTGTGTTCTATAAACCCTTAAAGGAGCCTGCAAATGTTCAAGTTTGTATGTTTAAAATATATAAATATTTCTGAAGTTTTAGTAAAGTAGTGCAAAGAATTACTTATACCACATCTTCATAGAATCGTGACCATAAACACTTGAACTTACTGGACTTCTACGGTGATCATTTTTGTCTTTGCGCCAATAGCAGTGCTTCATAAATGAGGTTCAGGGAAACCTTCCTAGTGGATCGGAAGTGAGATCTGAATGGTGAGGGGGAAGATGTTGGTATTGTGGGATGGGAAGAGAATGTTCTAGGTGTCCTTGTGCCAAGACCTGGAGCTGAGAGTAAGAGTGAACTAGTTGCGGACAGAAAGAAGTTGAGCAATAGGACACTGTCCGATAACAGAGATAGGACTTGGATTTAGATGTATCCAGCTCTAATATTGTGCCAAACACTCGGCCACACAAAACTATGGAGTCCCGAGTTGAACTATTGAGTCTGAAGTTGATTGTACAACCCTCCTTGATATGCGTGAACTATTGAATTATATGTTAATTATAGCTCAATGAATTGAAACAAATCTACTAGGTCCCAGATTGAACCCCTAAAGTTCTTTGTAATCCTTCCTTATCCTCCCCATTCCCAACTCCAGTAAAGCCCTCTGTTGAAGGTTACAGTGTTCTTTATTATTTGGCTCCTATTTATCAACTTCATTTCAGGAAAAATCTATTGGCTTGAGTCTGCATGGAAGGGGGCAAAATCTTCCATTGGCAATATATAACTAACATCTCAAATTGTTTGGGAACTCAAATTCCTATTACTGGTCTCTTTCTAAAAACTTGAGCTAAGGGAGATATTTGATTATCTATATTTATATGTGTATAGTATTCTATGTAATATATTTAATATATGATATATAGTATGTGAAATACAGCTATATTATATTTATATTTATATGTGTTATACAGGTTGTAGTATGTGTATAACATTTTGGCAGAACATATATATCAATGAGCGCTGGGCCTAGTGTCCCTTTGAAAGCTCTGTTCTCTAGAATAGCACTTCAGTAGAAATTAATGTAAGCAATATATGTAATTAAAATTTTTTACTAGCCACCTTAGAGAGTGAAAAAAAAATAGGCGAATGAATTTTAATAATATATACTATTGTATATTATGGGCTATATTGTATGTTACCATATACACAGTATAGCTTACCTGATACTTGTGAGAGAGATGCATACTTCAGTGTTTTTAGTAAAATATACAAGTTACCCATCTTTGGATTTGATATTTGAGGGGGTACCCCCAAAAAACCAAAAATTTTTTTCAAAGCTGTGTATTTACATTTTTTTATAAAACTACCTTATTACCTTCAAAGTCCTCTTGTAAAATGTGAAATTCTATTCTTGAAAGCATTTTTTCAAACTCATCTGTTTGGATGGCTGACAGCACCTCCCTCATTTTTCCCTTCACCTTTCCTACGACATCAAATCGCTGTCCTTTCATGTCCCTCTGTATTTGTGGAAACCAAAAGAACTTGCATGGAGTGAGGTCAGGTGAGTAAGGTGCATGGGGCAAGAGAAGCATGTGCTGCTTTTTGTCCCACACTAGCACACTGAGATGGCTGCGTGAGCAGGCTCATTGTTGTGGTGGCAAAACCAGTCCCCTGTTGGCCACAAAGGAGGCCTTTGTTGTCACACACTGTTAGGCAAATTTTTCAGACCTCTAAGTAGAAAGCTTGATTAACAGTCTGACCTGCTGGAACAAACTACAAATCACTGTCTTCCTCACATCAAAAAACAAACGAGCATTGTTTGGATCTTTGATTTCACTTGAGCTTTTTTTTGGTGAGGTGATGATGGCGTCTTCTACTGGCTTGATTAATGTTTGCTTTTGGGGTAGTAAGAATAGCCCCGTGTCATATCACCAGTAATGACCTTGGGAAAAAAGTCTGGGTTGCTTCGGAGCTGTTCTTTCAAAGCACAGCATGTTTCCTTCCACTTGATGTTCTTTTTTCTGGTCAGTCAGAACCCGAGGCACAAATTTCACGACCCTTCTCATTCCCAAATCTTCTGTTAAAATTCACTGAACCGAGCTCTAGGATAGTCCAGATAACTTCTCCCCCTCTTCAATGGTCCATCGTCAGTCTTGTCGACATTTTCATCCTTTTGGGAGGTTGACAGGTGTGTCATCAGTTGCCATTTCACCTTTTTAAAATGAGAGAACCATTCCTATACCTGAGTTTTTCCCATAACACTGTCCTTGTAATCTGTGTTCAATATCACAACCGTTTCTGCTGCATTTTTCCAGAGCCAGAAACAAAATTTCACAGCAGCATGCTATTCTCTTTAAATCGGCCATCACAAAAATGAGGTTTGAGGGAAACTTCTTTTAAGAAAAAATTCACTGTGACGAGAGAACCTGCCTAGGTGATGCCACTGGGTGCACTAAGAACAAGTTACTTGATGCTTGTCTCCTGGAAAAATGTGTACTACCAAAGCTTTTTTTTTTTGAGTACCCCCTTGTGTATATATATTTCTAAACCATTTTATTAGGAGCCAGTATAGATATCCTACCATTCCATAGTTCAGTCACATCAAAAATTGTTGTACAATTGCTAGATTCTCTGCCATAAATATCAAGGAAGTCTCTAAGGGGAGCCAGAAGCAGATAAAAGAAATAGATCCAGGAACAGATTTGGACTCACTAAATTCTAGCTCCAGTTAAAGAAAAATTAGTTCTTACAACATAGCCCTGCTTGATACTCCCCCTCATGAAGGAAACAGAGAAGGTATAGATGCTATAGCACAGTGTGGTGAAGAAATTAGAAACAGCTATCAGATAGAATAGTGTCTGGGTCTTAAAGGGCATGCTTCCAAATACGAGGTGTCAGCTGAGGCCACATGGAAGAAGCACACTAACACCCATGACTCAAGGTTTGTAAATTATGTAATCCAAAACCAAAAGAGGGCATACGATCAGTTCTCAAATGATGAGATTCTGTTTTGTAGAAGTCTATGGACAGCAGTAGAAGCCGAAGATACATTTGTGAGATCTACACGGAAAATACCATATACACTCGAGTATAAGCTGAGTTTTAATGCAGTTTTTGTGGTAAAATTAGGTACCTCGACGGATATTCTGGTTGGCTTATACTCAAGTATATATGGTAAGCCTCTGGGTTTTCCCTCTAACCATAATTGACTGGTGGCAGTAAACTAGATACCAAGCAGAGTATTGGGGAACTGACTGTAGGAGATCAACATGATTAATCTAACTTGAATGGTTAAAACCTTGTCAGTGGATTTGATATTTTTTATCTGCTTCAGATTTGTGTCTTTATTATTATTTTTCTTTCCCCTGTTTAATCAGGATTCTTCTCTGGAATCTTTAATCAAAATGTCCAGTAATACTAGCAGGGCATCCATCTAGTTCATATCATCATCCAGTTTTGTCACATGGCAAAGGTGGCCATAAGCCACACAGTCCATGTCCTCCCCCTATTCCCAACTCTCCTTCTCCCTCTGCTGTTCCAGGAGGGTAGAGACCAATAGTGCTCTGGACACTGCTTGCAAGCCTGTAAGACCCTTCCAGACAGGATTCAAAGTGGGAGGTAGAACACAAGCAGTGCACACATTTTCTAGGTCAGTTAACTGGGATGCCCCATGGAACCATGACCCGAGACCGCCAAACCTAGGGACCATAGAAATCTGTCTGAAAATGACTTAATTATCTTTTTTACTCATATGCCAAACACCATTATTCTAGATTATTTTTCTTATAAATGCTTATATATTGCAAAAATGTCTTGCCTCCCCAAAAAATGCTTTTTTTTTGCTTTTTTCTTCTCTGTTGTCTAGGTGCCAACAATACTAAATTCGCTCCAGAGAAGTGTACAAGCCGTTTTGGTGGGAAAAATTCAAATTCAGGACTGGTTTAGCAATGGCATTAAGAAAGCAGCCTTGATGCACAAGTGGCCATTAAAAGAGATATCTGTTGATGAAGACGATCAGTGCCTCCTTCAGAATGATGGATTTTTTCTTTATCTCTTATGCAAAGATGGCTTATACAAAATTGGCTCTGGATACAGTGGGACCGTTAGGGTAATGCCGCCCCTTCCAGTAGTTCTTTATCACAGAGAGAGACCCATGTTGATGAATTGTGCTCTTGTTTCTAGCCTCCTCTTTAGAGAACCACCTAATTTAAATGTAACAGTAATTCCTTTAAAAAAATTCTTAATTGAAGTGTGTGCATTAAATATAATTCAACTGTTAGTATTATTTTCTTTAATTTTTAAGTATAAATCTGCTCATAGACTAATATTTGTTATTTTGCAGGGCCATATTTATAATTCTACATCCCGCATCAGAAACAGAAAAGAAAAAAAGTCTTGGTTAGGGTATGCTCAGGTAGGAAAATATACATAATAAGCCAAACTTACTTTCATAAATTGTAAAAACATGTAATTTGTATTTGTACCTGCGGTTCCTATGTGAATAGAAAGGGTATATGCATAATAGTAGGGGATTCAAAAAGTACATAGAAAGATAATGGAGTTTTCCATGAATTTTTGAACACCCCATTCCTCATCACCACTACCATGGGCCATGTGTGTGTAAAAGGTGTTAAAAATAGAACAGTTGCTATTGGACCAGTTCTGACTCCGGGTGACCTCATGTTCATCATATCAGAACTGTGCTCCACAAGGTTTTCAATAGCTGATTGCTTTGTAGCTTTCCAGGTCTTTATTTCTAGGTGCTTCTAGGCTAACTCAATACTCCAGTCATTTATTTAGCAGATGAGTGCTTAACTACCTCCTTGAGGTTCCCATTAAAAACAAACAAACAAAAACAAAAGTACAAAAACAACCAATCCTACTACCATCTGCTCAATTTCAACTCATAGCAATTCTGTAGAACTGCTACCTGCAGCTTCTGAAACTATAAATCTTTCTTCTCCTGTGAAGCAGCTCGTGAGTGGATTTGAATTGCCCACTTGTGGTGAACAGTCCAATGTTTTACTTACTGAACCCCCAGGGTTTCTTAGAAACAGTCTAGCATAGTATAAACACCATTAGTCTAGAATCCACAAGAGGTTACCTTTTAGTTCTGGCCTTTCTCTTGTCAACTGTGTGATTTTTGAAAATCCAGTTTACTTATTTGGTCCTCTATTTAACATCTGTAAATGGATCAAAATGCTTCCTATTGGAGTTCTTATTTATGTGGGTTTCTAGATAGTAATCTGTGTCGCCTTTCTGGTGAGGAAATCAGAATTGGAGAATACATCTGGTAGATTCTCCATGCTCAGCCTGAGCCCGGGACTTCCAGGCATCCAGCTCAGTGTGGGCCAATAGTTCATATTGTGCCAACCGCACAGGGGACCACGCATCACAGAGCATCCGCAAAGGGAGGAGAGAGCTAGGTCAGGCTGCTTTCTTCCTCTCATTCTCTTACCCCTCAGCCAAACGGGGCTTAGCTTCTTAAATAGAGACAGCAATCTGCTGTGTCCCCTCTCCTCTGTGGAGGGGAGCAAATGGAAGATGGAACCAAGAGGCCAGAAAGTTCCCTTGTGGGAAGGAGTACAATGAAGATGCCCCTGCACACCCATTGTTGTCAGCATCAACTGAAATATATCAGTGCATTTTAGAGGCCACAGAAATAATTGGTTGTTTATAGGAAAAATAATCCTGCTATCCCAACTAGGTAGGAGATTCTAAAATTCATTGTAGCAGATTCATTAGTCAGTGATTGTTTTTTAAGACACAGCATGTTTTGAAGTGTCTCATCCCGTTTTCTTTCTTTTTTTTAAAAAATCTCTCTTATTTTGGGTTGTTTTTTTTTTTTACCTGTTATTCTAAGAAAGCATGGAAAACTTTTTTTTTTTACAGAAATCATGGCCAGCAGTACTTTAAGCATCAAAAACCACTACTCTCTTCATCTTGAAATGGCAACTTTGAAATGATATTTCAGTTGTGTTTTCAAGTAATCGTGACCATTTTTATTATTTTCTTGACAACTGATAGTCATTTTGAGCAAAATACTTATCTTGTCCTATGTAGTATACTGTTTATATGTATCTTGAGAATGTAATAGATATAAATTGATTGCCGAATCATGTGCGGTGCGTCTCCTCCTAATAAAGCATGCACATCCTCTTTTATTTGGAGACAGCGCTTCTTGTTAGGTGCCTTCGAGTCAGACCTGACTCACAGCAACCCCATGCACAGCAGGAGGAAGCACTGCCCAGTCCTGTGCCCTCCTGACTCTTGTCAGGCTTGAGCTCATGGCTGTAGCCCCTGTATCGCGAAATATTGACATTGGTGTTGATGTTTTATGTACCTCCAAAAACTGTCCCTGGGCTTGTCTGACTGCTTTTGCAATATGTTTGCAATTTCAATATGTTTGAAATATTTTAATGCATAACACAAGAAAATGTCTTTGTTGTTGTCAGGGTTACTTATTGTATAGAGATGTGAATAACCACAGCATGACAGCTATAAGAATAAGTCCGGAAACCTTGGAACAAGATGGCACTGTAATGTTACCAGGTATGGTCTTCCACTAGTTGTTTTTTCTTCACAAGTGACTTTAGTACATGTGCATGTTAGTACATTTAAACATGTAAAAAATGATTAGCAGGAAATAGTGTGCTTGCTTACAGAGATGTCAAATTTTTTGACATGCAAAACATTTTATAGTCTATGTGAAGTTAAATGCATGTGAGGGCAATAGACATTAGGCATATCGTATAATTAGTTTTCATATTTGTTTTCAAAATGTTGCCCACCTGTTACTTTATTCCTTTTCCACCTCCAGTCCCCAACTATTTCAACTGATGAATTCCTGCAATATCACTTTGTTGTTTTATTTAACATCAAATTAAAACCAAAAATGCCCATTGGCTTTCATGTGACTTGTTTCAAAGAATATTCTGTTTACTTTTCTTGTAACAACATAACACTTTGAGCTTTCTTTTCTTTCTTTTAAAATGTTTTCTGAGACAAGTTTAAGAGTGTACTGGCATTTGTTAAACAATTCCCTCACTTACCCCTTTATATCAAACTCTGATAGAGGACTTCGAACACAGTTCATTTGGCCTTAATTCACCATCACAGTCATGGCTGTTTACATGGAGGTCGTACATCTCAAATTTTGTGCAGCACTGAGCAAAGGCATCAAATATTTTTCCATTGGAAGGTCTTTTAAACTTGCTTATCCTTTGTGAAGTGGCTCATTTATATTAACATGCTGACTGTTTAATGTGTCTGCCACTAATTTTAAAGTAAGCAACAAGCAGTGTTACTTCTAGGCACTTGACCATCTGAATGTAATTGAGAAGCACTGCTCTGAAGAACACAGTGAGAAGGTTAATGGCTCCCAGGCTGCTTATTAATTTTTTACATTTAGAAGACTTAACTCCATCAAACAATTATGTGAATATTGCTATGTTACCCAAATACGTTTGCATGACACCACATTAAGGTAAATGTCACATTTTTGTTGTCCCTTTCCTACATCTGGCAGCTTTGGAAAACAGGTTAACATATAAGAAGCCATTTTACAACTGGTTGTCTGTTTGCAGTTGAGTCTGTAAGGTAGTTTTCATTAGAAATCTTGCGCTGTCTCTCTGATCCCAATAATCATAATGATCATTTTTAAAATGTAATTTTAATACCATGTAGCCTAAAGCATTTATACAAAATAATCATGTTTTGTCCTAAAAAAATCATAGGAGAAAAAGAGAATAAAATAAAAACCACTTGTAATCCGCTTCCTGTATATGAGCCTTGTTAACATATTTGTGAATATATTCTTTTTTTCCTGTGTGTCTATGGATGTACTGTAATCATACTCTAGTGCTGCTTTTTGTGAAGCCTAGTCCTTTCACTTACAATTCTGAATATGTTTCCATGCCATTAAATAATCTTTATACAGCATTTTAATGTTAGACAATATGTTCCATTGATCAATAATGTTGGAACAGAATTCAGTTTTCTTTTTTTTGTTGCTGTGATAAATTACCTTGTAATGAGCATCACTCTCAGAGTTATTTCTTTGTGTAAGTAAGTGTTTCAGGATAATGTCTCAGAACCAAATTTCTAAGTTTTGATAAAAAATCTCCTTCACCCTCCCATCCCTGAAATGGATGAAAATTATAAAGGATTTACTTTTAAGAAGCCCTGGCCACTAACAGAGATTGCAAGTGATATGATCACTGCTGTATTTTTTTCCACCATGATTAAAAATTGATTTTAAAATGCCCCCTTTTCCATGTAAATCCCTCAGCATCATTTTACCAAGTGAAATGCAACTTTTAGTAACGTAAGGGTGGCATTCCATTCTGCTGTGTTGTGAACTTACACTGTGTTTTGGAGAAGAATGGACCAATCTTTGGGAGGATATCGTGTGTCCCCTGATACTGCCCAGATTTTTCTGAAGATGGGGTCTTATCCCATCCCTGAAGGAAAGGATCGAAGGAAATCCTTTTGAAGTCACAAGACTGGAAGACAGCCCGCAAGTCTGAAAGAAGATGCCACCTTCCCATGCTTGGATGTGGGCCACATTGTCTTCAGTAGCCCCCTCTCACCCAAGTAGGGACAACTGCCCACTACCCTTCCCTTCAAAGAAGGTGCAGGAGAAGTGACTATCAGGTCTAGAAGTGGTAGTGTTTGAAATGAACATAAATCAAGTAATGCCTTGAGCGTCACGTTCCAACTTGAAAACAACAACATGATTTTCAGCCTAGTATAGTATTGCTGAAGTGAAAACATTCTCTTTTGTTTGCTTGTTAATTGTCATTTTATCCTTTATTTTTCAGCATGCCTTTTAATTGTATCCTTATGTCATTTACTCTCTATCTCTGGTGACACATTGCCTCAGAACAAGAGGCTTTTTGCAACTCCTCTTGCGCCACTTACCCCTCACCCCTGCATTTATCTGAAATTATAATGAGTTTTTCTTCTTTGCTTTTTAGTTTAAAATCTTACTGCTTAAAGCTTGAGAAGCATCTTTCTTGTGCCTCTTTGTACTCTGTACAGTGGACTAGGAACTCTTTCTTTCGATTTCTCCTCTCTTTGATTACCAAGTCTCTTGGGCTTCCAGTGGGCCTTGTCTCCCAGTTTTATTTCCAGTTTGTGATCACTGAATTCTCTATTTGGTAAGGGTCTGCCTGTGTTTTGCATATTTATAATAAGGAAGTATGCTAGTATGAAGCTCCTGGGCAAAGATATGGTGTAATCCAGTTTATTTGGGTGGGGGGGTCTCCATTACTGCATTCTAGAAACAGAATGTTTCATTGATTCAGGTGCAAATATACACTTGGTTTCTTCTGGTAATTGTGATTAATGGAGAGATTCATCCTAGTTCCCTGCAGTTATTTTGGGAAATGTGTGTGCTTTTTATACTTGCTTGCTAAATGTTTGTTTGTTTGTCCCCCTCAACCCCCCAAAAAAGGATGCAGTATATACTTAGATGTTAGACTTTGCTTGTAGTCTCATGTTATTTATAGTAGCGTTTACTAACACCTGTTTCAGTGGTACTTCTGTGATACAGGTATCCCTTGTTATAATTGATTCAGTGTTTTTTATTGATCCCAGTGTATATACAATGCACTTTTCCACAGAGATACGTACATTCTGATAAAGTAAGAAACTCTGGCCAAGACACATGACTACTTATTGCCTGAAAGAAATGCATCTGAATAGATTTGCCTGTTTTATTAAGAATGAGCCTTTTAAAGGTTTAGAGCTTGCAAAATACACTGCTGGAAATAAGCATTGAACTTACAAGTGAAAAATTGTACAACCAGTTTTTGAATTCTATTTTATAAAGCAAGGTATATCTGTAGTTGGATACCTTAGACCTCCAATACAGAAGCTATAGGTCTATCTGTATTTTTCTGTGACCCTAATTACTGTGATGTATGTCTGAGGGTACATCGCATGTGATTGTATTGAAATGGTAATAACCATACATTGTAGTTTGTTCATCACGGTGCATGTTTACTACCAGATATATTAAATACTAATTCCTTTTGAAATTAGGTGGGTTCTCAGGACTTTGAATGTGGAAGAAATTATAAATATAACCATAAAGCTGTAATAACTAGGTGAATTACTAAATATCTGCTAATTTATAATGTCATCAAAAAGTACAGTCTCCTTTTTAGTTAAATTTATCCTTATTGCCTGGAGAGCTCTCATTCTGACTTCAGCAGAGGAGTAAAGTCATTTTATGAGGTGTTTATGTATATTGTGATATATATTTTTTCCCTTCAATGCAGAATGCCATACTGAAGGTCAAAATATTTTATTCACTGATGGAGAATATATTAATCAGATAGCTGCTTCAAGAGATGTAAGTACCCTGAATCATGAGTAGCTGGCATATGTGGAAGGAAGCCTTTTATCTGAAATTATTTCATTTTGTTAGAATATACCAAAATGAAGCCACACCTGGCCTGCAGCATGAACTGCTCCAGAGGGTTTCCAGGAAGCTGGCACTTCTTTCTTGGGTGGAACAGCTGTTGGGCTTTCTGCTAGCAGTTCAGTGCTTCGCACTAGCTCAGAAAGGCTCCTTATTAGGCTGTGTTGGTGGTAGCAGTGGTGCCGGTGAGAGGCTCCCACACCCAGCCACCCTTTGTGCCACAGAAGGAAACATTTCCGTGCCCTGCACTGCCCTCACAGTTGTAGCGACATTCAAGTCCATTGTTGCAGCCACTGTGTCAGTCCATCTCATTGAAGATCTTCCTTTTTTTGTGGACACTCTACCCAGAATGATACCCTATTTGAGAATTCTGCCTCTTTAAAGTATGAGATACTTGATCCTCATATCCTTACTTCTAAGAAGTATTCTGGCTGTACTTTTTTTTTTTTTCAATGATTTTATTGGGGCCTCATACAACTCTTATCACAATCTATAAATACATCAATTGTATAAAGCACATTTGTACATTCGTTAGCCACATCATTCTCAAAACATTTGCTCTCCACGTAAGCCCTTGGCATCAGCTCATTTTCCCCCCTCCCTCCCAGCTCCCTCCTCCCTCATGAACCCTTGATAATTTATAAATTATT